TAAATGGGCTTCTTAGCTATTCCTTGTGTATGTTCTTTGTGAAACTGATATTTGGTGGGAAAGGGGTCAAGTCTGGCTATAGAGCTTGGAGTCCTTTTTCCCCACCCCAAAATGACAAAGCAATCACAAGTCAGCTCAAACCTGATCATCTGTCCCTAGATGCACAGTGTTTAAAGGAGCAGATAGATATACTTCTAGCCCAGGACCGCTTCTCTCTGAGGAGAGCAGAGTGGCCTCTGGCCCCAACTTCCTGTTTCCATTCCTAGCAGAAATAAAAATCTTTCTTGGAGAAGGGTTGGGAGGAGAAGAAACTAGAAATGTCTATTCTGCATCCCCCCCCCCCCCTTCAAGCCATACAAGAACAGCTCTCACCACACATGGAGCCTCACTATAGGTAAGGCTCAGTCTCTATCTCTACACATCCATTTCACAATTTCTCACAACACAATTCTATTTCATTCATATGCTGTAATTCGTCTAACCATTCCCCAATTTATGGTCATCTCCTTAGTTTCCAGTTCCTTGCTTCTAAAGAGCTGCTATAAGTGTTTTGTATATATACATCATTTTCCTCTTTCATTTTTTTGGGGAATGGTAGTGGTAATTGAGTCAAAGAGTATACCACTGTTTAGTGATTTGGGGGGGTTATAGCTCCAAATCACTTTCTAGACTGGGTAGACCAGTTCATGCATCTACAATGTATAGTGTACTTTATTCCATTCATGTTTTCTTTGGTTCACTGACACTGGCCTTGCTGTACCTCACACTCTACTTCCCAACTCTGAGCAGTTTCACTGATTGTCCTTCATGCCTAGAACTCTCTCCCTGCTCATCTCCACTTTTCTGCATTACCTATAATTTCAACTAAAGTCCTATGTTCTGTAAGAAGTGCTTTTAAGTCCCTCTTACTCTTAGTGCCTTATGTCTGATATCTTCAATTTATCCTGACTATATCTTATTTGTACATAGTTGTTTGGGTGAATGTGAATTCCCAGAGGGCAAGGACTTTTTTTTTTTAAATCTCTAGCATTTGTCACAGTTATTAGTGCATAATAGACACTTATAAACACTTGCTGACTTGACTATTTTCCTGAAGCCCATCTAACAATTGTGAATTTTTTTTTGTCATCTTTGCCAGTCTGTGGGTGTGATGTAGAGCCTCAGAGTTGCTTTAATATTCATTTCTCTAATTAATAATGATTTAGAGCATTTTTTCATATGGTTGTGATAGCTTAGATTTCTTACTTTGAAAACTACCTATTCATATTATTTGACTAGTTATTGAGGAGTGGCTCTCATTTTTTATAAATTTCAATTAGTTCCTTATGTATCTTGCACATAAGATTCTATTTTTTTCTGGATATATTTCCATTCTAATTTTAACTCCATATTACTTGTAAAGGCTCTAGCCCAATTATTTTTTCCATTCTAATTACTACATCAATTTTGCTCTGCAAAAGCTTTTAGATTTTGTGCAAATTTGCCCACTTTATTTTCACTTATTTCTTCACTTCATTTCAGTTAATAATCCTTCCCCTATTCATAGATGTAAAAGGTATCTTTTCCCCTTCTTTTCTAATTTATGATTGCTTGTATTTAGATCATGTAGCCATTTAAAGCTTATTGTTGTGTCTGGTGTAAATTGCTGATCTAAATCTAATTTCTGCCAGACTGCTTTCCAGTTTTCCCAGAAGTTTTTGTCAAATAAAGGAGTCCTTATCCCAATAGTTGATATCCATGGGTTTATCAAACAGTATGCTACTATTTTTGTTTGCTTCTTGTTTACTTAATCTACTCCACTGGCCAACTTTTCTGTTTTTTTTTTAACAAATACAAAAATATCTTGATTACACTTCCCTAATATAGCCTTTGGGTTTTTTTGTTTTTTAGCTTGAGATCTGGTATTGAGGCCTCCTTCATTCTTACTTTTATCCCATTATTTTCCTTTACCTTTTGTTTCTCCAGATGAATTAAAAAAAAATTCCATGTAGCAATACCTTGCTATTTTGAATGGTTTAGAATTAAATCTATGAATTAATTTAGATACTATCATTTTTATTGTTAGTACAGTCCAACCATGACAATTAATCTTTCTTCATTTAATTAAGTCCTTTATTTCTACAAAGAGCGTTTTGTAGTATCATATGCATCCTGAGTATGTTTTGGTAGGTGAACTTCCAGCCATTTTATACATTTTGTAGTTATTATTATTATTATTATTTTGGGCTAGGCAATGGGGGTAAGTGACTTGCCCAGGGTCACACAGCTAGTAAGTATCAAGTGTCTAAGGCCAGATTTGAACTCAAGTCCTCTTGACTCCAGGGCTTGTGGTCTATTTACTGTACCACCTAGCTGCCCCTGTAGTTATTTCTAATGAAATTTCTTTTTCTATCTTTTCCTACAGAGGCTTGTTGCTAATACACTGAAAGTTTGAGGATTTTTATGGATCTATTTCATATTTATTATCTTAGTGAAGTTATTGTTTCAAAAACTTTTAGTTGACTCTCAAGGAGCCTCCAAATATCAGCAAATAACAATAATTTTATTTCTTGTTTCGCTGTATTTCCTCAATTTCTTTGGCAATAGATATCTTCATCCACACAATCTTTCTGGTATAGTTTATCAGGTTAAAATTTTTGAGTGGTTGTAGCTTTCTTCTAGGACATTCTGTAACATCATAGAGCTTCATATAAATAGCACAATATAATCCACAAAATCTGCAGGACCTCCCCATCCACAGGAAAACACTTTCCAACTTGTATGCTATACTGGACCTCCTCCATGACAGTAGTGGATTCCTTTGGTGAAATGTATCTCCCTGTTTTATGGCTCTCCTGATGTTTATTATCTGAAGGCCACCTAATAAGTTTCTCTCTATTGTCATATCTTTTTTAAAAAAAAATTTTTTTATTATAAACTTAAACATTAATAAATGAACATTTCAATATACAAAGTGTTAGGGATCTGTAGGACGTTGAGGTCCACAGGCTGTTCATGAGACTTCACTGATGGGAGAAGGCCCCTCGGGTGTTAGTACATGAGCAGAATATCCTGGCTCGGTTCTCCGTCCACGGACCCTGCACCTCCCAGTCAGCAGAACTCTGACGCTAGGCAAAGTCAACCATAAACAATGTTGCCAGCTCAAACACAGTCAGCTCTAGCACAAATATGTATCAAGTATTGCTAGCTTATGTATCAAGTATTGGGAACATTCTGGGAACAAGAAGTACATGGTGTTTTTACGGGAACGGCACAGGAGAAGGACACAGTCAGGATAATGTTGCAAAGAAATGTACTTGTTGATACTTTGATTGGTATTCGCATGAGAAAAATCCTTGGTGTTGCCTATTGGTAAAGATATGTAAACTTTGTTGCTTTGTCCGCTGTTACATTGGGGTATGTTCCCATGAGTCAAAGATATAAAACGCTGTCCTGTGCCTTGAATAAACGGAGCTTCACCATCTTGTCTCCCTGCCTCTCACTGCTTGGCGCAGGGTATCAGGAACTAAGCTGGCCTTAGCATTCCTGGGGAAGGAGAGTTTAAGACTCTCACAGCCACTGAGCTGGACCCACGCAACAAAGAACATAAAAGATTGTGTATGCAGCTCTAAACTTTCATAGTGTTAGTTTTAAAGTGTACGTTAAATTTAACATGACAATAAAACTTCCCAGTTTATCTATGTCCTCTTTTGAACTTCTCACTGCTTTCTTCTTTGTATTTTAAGATATTTTACGGATTTTTTTTCCTTTTTCTGCATTACTATTACCATCCCTTATCTCCTCTTCCAACTCCAATCCCCCCTTCCTGTAGGAGTCCTCCATTATAACAAATAAGTATACTTAAGTAAAACAAATCGTTAGCTAGGTCTGAAAAATGGATGTCTCATTCTGTATCTCTATTCATTACTTTTCTGCCAAGACTTCATCATCAGTCTTATGGAGTAATAATTGGTAATTGCATTGATCACAGTTCTTATGTCTTTTAAAATTATTTCCCTTTGCACTATTATCACTGTGTGAATTGTCCTGGTGTCCTGCTCATTTCACTTTATATCAGTTTAGAAAAATCTTTCCAGGTTTCTCTGAGTCTATCATATTTATCATTTCTTACAGTGTGATATTCTGTTGTATCCTGTGCCCTAATTTATTCAATCACCAAATGATGAGTACCCATTTTCTTTTCCAGTAATTATAATAAAAAGTACTGATAACAACTATTTTTGTATTGTCACATCTTTTGAAGTATTTTGAAAGATTCTGATGTGTGGATCGAAGCTATTTTTGGAAGAGAACCTTTAAGGCAATTCTTTTGCTCCTTGAACAAATGCACTTCCATAAAAACAATCAAAGTTAGTCAAAAGTCAAAAATGCTGCCTTGTGAGGTACTCAGTTCCTGTACTGGACTTGATGTTTTTATCGGGGATATTATAATGGAGATTTTAAAATGGGACTTAGACTAAATAATGTCTAAGTTTCCTTCAAAAATAAGGTCCTATGATTTCCTTAATTAGATTACAATGTCTTAGAAGGCAGAAAGTTCTTGCAGTTCTCCATATCTCCCATATCGCCTGGCATAATTAGAGTTCATTAATAAATATTTGTGGATTAAAGCTAACTATGGATCAGGGGAAAAAATCTTAGCTTGGGAGACAGGTGAACTGGCCCAAACCTATCTCTGACACTAAATGGTCACAGTATGGTAGCTTGTTGCAAGAGATATAGGTGGTAATGGTATGGGTTAGAGGTTCTGCAGTCTCATGAAACTTCATTGTGGGACACGAAGACCAACTTTGGAACAGAATAAAGTGTTAGCAGCCCTTGAAACCAAGTAGTTAGTTTGCCATGTGGACAAAAATTACTAATTATTTCAGTCTTCTATGACAATGATATGGAAGTCCAAGAAGCATTTTGGTTGCAGTACTTGGAAGATGAACAGAGGAAGGATTTTGGGTGGAAATAAAATTGCAGGGGATTGGCCATAGTTTCTGAGACATACAAGATCAGCTGGCTTCTTAAGACAGCTCCAGCCATATTTTCTGAAAGACCGTCATTGCATCATTGGTCACTATTTCAAGAAAATAGTTATGTATATCATGAGCTTGCTTATACAATTTTTGATAACTCTGTTGGTGAGGAAGCTTTGCTACCTCAACCTTTCTGCCTGTGAAAATAGCTAATTTTTGATTGTCTTTTATGAGTGCCTGCAAATTCCAGGACTTGGTGGTGCCCTGTAATTCCTTTATGTTCCAACCAAACATCTGAGCCAGATTGGTAAGGGAAAGATCATCCACCCCAAAGAACTTTCGATAATGATTCAGACAGGTCCTGAGCTGGACTAAAACCCCAGAACTAGCAGTGACTTGTAGGGCCATCATCAAAGATTCCACTCCAATTATCCCCTGCAAGGCAGTCTTCTTCCTCTCAATGGCATCTACACAAATATGAGACAGGGAATTCATCAAAGTCTGAGCGTTGACCCTCCTCTGATATTCAAATGCCCTCAAGGCATTACAAAAAGTTGCAAAGTCAAATACATCATTCATGACAGAGATCAGGAATACTTGAGGATTACTTATACCTATCCTTTCCAGGTTCCATACACATAGCTTTACATTTTCCCTGTTAAACGAGAACTTGTGGAATGTTGGGATGGGCTGAGCTTCCATTGAGATGAAATAGACCTTCTTCCCCATATTGTGGAGCTCTATTGCTAAGCTGGTATGAATAGATTTAATGCAGATAGAGACAATAATGATGACAGCATCAAAATGGGCACAATCTATCTCCTTCAGGTAAGTTGTTACTGGTTTCACGTATGTCTCAATATCTGGTAGCGACTCTGCAACACAGTGGACAGTGCCAGAATAATTTTGGAAAACAAAAGTTCCTATATTTGCCTGCGAAGTAAATACATGCAGAGAACGAATCACTGAATTACTCAGGGAAGCATTTCCAACCACAGCTACTCTCAAAGGGGTAGTCTTCATTTTCATTCTCAATTTGGAAGATACTTCTTTTAATTTTCCCAGGACCAGCATCTCTAGTATTTCAGACGTGTCTGTTTCAGAAATGACTCCTTGACCATCTTTCAACTTAGACTGGGTTATTATTTCAGTGGCAAGTTGGTATAATATCTGCTCCATTGTGTAGCATATCTAGGAGAAAGGAGACATTATGGATGGAGATTGAGTTAGGCACATCGGGAAAAGAAGAGGGACAGGAGAGGTGGATTTACTGAGAAGAAAAAGTCAAATCTTCCACAATTTCTAAAAAACTCATAATTTTTACATTTACATTTAACCTTTAATTCTTTGTTGGAAGAGAAGTGGGGTACAGATAATCCAAAAGCAACTTGTTTGGCCTGGTAGTGGTCAGATACACACATGCTCAGATGCTGCCTCCCGTTAAACCAAGGGTTCATAATTTTTCTAGGGTTATCCCTATTTCAAACAGAGAAGAATGAGAAATGACTTTTGAAATTCTACCTTGGAAAAAATGGAGAACTACGAGTTGACCATATTTGGGGGGGGGGAGGAGTGCCAAATAGCTTCTCAATAATGTTATACTTTGGGCAGCTAGGTGGCACAGTGGATAGAGCACTGGCCCTGGACTCAGGAGGACCACAGTTCAAATACAGCCTCAGACACATAACACTAGCTGTGTGACCCTGGGTGAGTCACTTAACCCCACTGCCTAACCCCCCCCCCAAAAAAATGTTGCACTTTCCTTTCAGATGGAGAGAACCAAGATGTAAGGGTAAGAGAATGGGGTAGTAACTGGTGGAATCCTCATCAGTCATTTGTACTTGAGGGCTAGGTTCCTAACTGTATGGGACAAGTGAAAGTTTCTCATGTAAGATGTAAGCTATGCTCCATAAATGTAGTAAGGCTTCAACATGAGCTGGGCCTAAGTTTCACTTTTGTTTTTGGGGAAGGGGGTTGTGCACCAGCTGCCTACCCTCCCTCCCTTGTTTTGTAACCACCCCTTCTGTTTTTTTGCCTTAACTTTACCACATAAGGCAATCCTCTAGCTCCCAAGCTAGTTTTGAGTAAAATGTATCTCTTGGGTTCTGAAAATAGACTGTGAGGTCTCTTGCCTCAGTCAATGAGGATAAAGAGATTGAGACAGATAGGTGGGGAGGGGGCTTTTTGGAATGGTTTGTCTAAGACTATATGTACTGCTTGCTGTTGTTTGTGCCCCGCCTCTCTACACCAGTCTGCTGGGTAGGAGATGCCCAACTCTCATGCGAGACTTGCTAGAATAAAACCTTCTGTTTTCTAACTGGAGATACCTCTGAGTTTTTATTTGGGTAAGTGGTCTCTATTCCACCCATAATCAATGATTCTCTTTTGCAAAGCTGGATACATTGGCTCATTAGAACACTGATAAATACATAACAAAATTGCAAAAATGTATGCCAGACCTCTTTCTTAGTTGTCTTGTTCTGAAGGTGAAGCTGTAGCCATGGAGCTAGGAGAGAGAGAGAAAGAAGACTGAGCTTGCAGGTTTCTATCATTTATTTGCCCATCTCATTGATAGGGAAAAAAAAGACTTTTTCTGGACATAGAAGGGCTCTCTGAGAAAAGAGAAAGCAGTCTGATCTGTTGCAAGCCATTTTCCTCTTGGGGGCTCAGCAGCTGTAGAAAACAGCCCATGAATTCAAGCTCACCTGCCACCCCACCCTACTGAAGTTGGGAAATAAATCTTTCAGGCTTCTGGCCTAGGCTTCCTCTTTTGTCAAATGCAGATATTGAACTGGATGAATGCTAATGTCCCTATGATGCTATGATCCCTTCTCCTTACCTTTGAAACTTCTCATGGATTCCTCCAAGGCATCTATCTTTCCAGTGAATGCACACACTCTCTCTTCTAGGTCTTGTGAGGTGGTCAAAGGGGTCAGGACCTGTTCTTTCTCCCACCTAGGTAGAAACAGAGAACATCAATAGAAATAGAGAACATTAGAAGGGACTTCAGGAAGAACAGGAATGAAAGGGTCTGGCCAAATCCAGTTCTCCTCCCATCCAACTCAAAAACAGTTAGAAATACAAAAAATGCATTAAAAGAACAACAAACGAGAAATAAAAATTTCTCTAGAATAATAGCCACAATTTTTTTAAAAAGTAAAGAAAAATATACTACTGGTCCACATTCCGCCTGATCCCCTACCACCACCTCAGATCAAACCATTTCCAGTATCAAAAATGAAAAAAGGACCAGATTAAAAAGAATAAAAGAAAACTGTTGTTGTTCAGTCATATCCGACTCTTTGTGACCCCACTTGGGGTTTTATTGGCAAAGATAATGGAGTGGTTTGCCATTTCCTTCTCCAGCTCATTTTACAGATGAGGAACTGAGGTAAACAGGGTTAAGTGACTTGCCCAGGGGCACACAGCTAGGAAGTGTTTGAGGCCAGATTTGAACTCAGGAAGATGAGTCTTTCTTCAGGCCAAGCACTGTATCCATTGTGCCATCTAGCTGCCCAATCATATGCTAATAAACCTGACAAATTAAACAAAATAGATGAATATTTACAAAAATAGAAAATGTATATTATATATATATATACACACATATATATATACACATACACATACACACATATATATATACACATATATATATATATATACACACACACATATATATATGTATATGTATATATATATATATATATATATATATATATATGTTAAAGAAACTAAATTTAAATAACCCAATCTCAGAAAAAGAAATTGAACAAATCACAAATGGCTTCCAAAGGCGGGTAAAACAATAATATCAGCAACAGAAAACCTGGGACCAGATAGACTCACAAGTGGTCTATCAAACATTCAAAGAATAATTACTTCCAATATTACATCAACTGGTTTTTTTTTAAAAAAGAAAATATGGAATCCTACCAAATGTGATACAAATATTGTTTTGATACCTAACTCAGGGAGAGATAAAACAGTGGAAGAAAACTCTAAGCAAATATCTCCTATGCATATCAACAAAAAAAATCTGAATAAGACATTAACAAAGAGGCTACAGCAACATATCAAAAAAGATTATATACTATGACTCTTTAATTTATACCAGGAAAGCACGGTTGGTTCATATTAGAAAAAGTATAAGCGATATAGAGCATATTAATAACAAAAACAATTAAAATTATATCAATATATACAGAAAAGGCTTTTGACAAAAATGTAACACCTATTTCTGTTTAAAAAACTCAAAATAGGAATAAAGGGGCCTTTTAAAAATATAGTAAATAGCATCTATTTAAAAACTAAAGCCCCAGGCCAACGAGGTGGCGTAGTGGATAGAGCACTGGCCCTGGAGTCAGAAGGACCTGAGTTCAAATCCGGCCTCAGACACATAACACTTACTAGCTGTGTGACCCTGGGAGAGTCACTTAACCCCACTGCCTAGACAAAAAAAAAAAAAGATAAAAACGAAAGCTGACATTATATATAATAGGGATAAGTTAAAAATATATCCATAAGATCAGGAATAAACAAGGATGTCCATTATCTCTAGTGTTATCAAATATCATGCTAGATATGTTAGCAATAGCAATAAGATAATAAAAGAAAATTAAAGGAATATGCAAAGGTAAAGAAGAAACAAAACCATTACTTTTTACAGATAAACCCACACAAATCATCAGTTTTTCTATATATTAACAACAAAATCCTGTAGGAAAAGATGAAAGAGAAATTCTGTCCAAAATAACTACAGAATATATAACATATTTGGTAGTCTACTTATCAATGCATACATAGGAACTACATTAATACAATTACAAAATGTTCTTATTATAGAAGTAAAGGTAGATATGGATAAACGGAGCTATTAATTGCTAATGGTTGATCAGGCCATTATAATAATACTAAGTTATTTAATTATTTATTTGCTATCTAAGTTATTTAATCAGTTAATACCAAACAAACTACCAAAGGATTACTTTGTAGAAATAGGAAAAAAAATATCAAAATTCATCTGGCAGAACAAAAAGTTGAGACTCTCATGGGAAATAATGAAAAAAAACATAGAAAGGAAGGGGGCCTAACATCAGGGTCTGATCTCAAATTATACTACAGAGCAGTAATCCTGCAAGGTTATCTAGCATTGGTTAAAAAAAATAGAAATGTTAATCCATGAAAAAGATTAGGTACAAATATACAGAAGCAAATGAACATAATAGCATAGTGTTTGACAAATTCAAAAGACCCCAACTACTGGGGTAAGGACTCATAAAATGATAAAAATGGTTGAAAGCTGGAAAGTAGTCTGACAGAAGTTAAGTTTTGAGTAATTTCTCACAACATATACCAATATAAGTTCCAAGTAAATGAATTGGAATGTAAAAGGTTACATCATAAAAAAATTACAGCAAGAAATGAAATGTGTTTTATACCTGTGTGAGAATTGTTGACTAAATAAGGAATAGAGCAGGTCAGAGAAATAAAACGGACTAGTTTGATGGCATTGAAAATTTTAAAATAAAATTAATATAGTTAAAACTGGAAACAAAATAGGTAACTGGGGGAAAATCTTTGCAGCAAGTTTTTTTAAAGAAAGGTCTCATAGCCCAAGAGATATAAGGAGCTGATTTAAGTATATAAGAACAAGAATCATTCTCCATTAGATAAATGGCCAGTGGATATCAACCAGGCAGTTCTCAAAGGAAGAAATCTAAGCTATCAACAACCATATGAAAAAATGTTCTGAATCACTAGAGAATGTAAGTAAAAGCAACTCTGAAGTTCTATCTTACCCTCATTGAAATGGAAAATGAAAATTGATGGAGGGGTTTTTTTTAAGTGTCTATTCTACATGCCTGTTTTTATATATATATATATATATATATATATATATATATATATATATATATATATATATTTTAGTTTTCAACATTCACTTCCACAAGTTTTTGAGTTCCAAATTTTCAGCCCATTTCACCCCTCCCCCCACCCCAAGATGGCATGCATTCTGAATATCCCTTCCCCTAGTCTGTCCTCTCTTCTATCTCTTCCCCCCGCCCCCTTCTCTTATCCCCTTCCCCTTCTATTTTCCTGTAGGGCAGGATAGACTTCTGTACCCCATCTCCTGTCTTTCTTATTTCCCAGTAGCATGTGAAAACATTTTTTTTAAACATATGTTTTAAAAACTTTAGGTTTCAGATTTTCTCTCTTCCTCCCTCCCCACCCACCCTCATTGAAAAGGCAAGCAACTCAATATAGGTTATACATGTGCAGTTATGCAAAACACTGCCATAGTAGACATGCTGTGAAAAACTAACTCTATTTCCCTAAATCCTATCCAGCCCTCCCATTTATTCTATTCTTTCTTTTGATCCTGTCCCTCCTCAGAAGTATTTACTTCTGATTACCCCCTTTCCCAATCTGTCCTCCTCTTTATCACCCCCCTGCCCTCTTGTCCCCTTCTCCCCCTATTTTCCTGTAGGGTAAGACATATTTCCATACCCAATTGAATGTGTATGTTATTCCCTCCTTAAGCCAAATCCTATGAGAATAAGATTCACTCATTCCCTCTTATGTTCCCCCATTTCCCCTCCACTGTAAGAGCCTTTTCTTTTCTGTTTTTTTTTTTTGGTGAGATAATTTACCCCATTCTACCTCTCCCTTTCTTCTTCTCCAAGTATAATCCTCCCTCATCCCTTAATTTTATTCTCCAGATATGACCCCTTAATCTTCAACTCACCCTGTGCCCTCTATCTATCTATCTATATATACATATAATTTTTTTCCTTCAACTACCCTAATACTGACAAAGGTCTCATGAGTTATAAATATCATCTTTCCATGCAGGAATGTAAACAGTTCAATATTAATAAGTCTTTTATGATTTCTCTTTCCTGTTTACCTCTTCATGTTCCACTTGAGTCCTGTATTTGAAAGTCAAATTTTCTATTCAGCTCTGGTCTTTTCATCAGGAATGCTTGAAAGTCCTCTATTTCACTGAATAACCATTTTTTTCCCTGAAGGATTATACTCAGTTTTGCTGGGTAGGTGATTCTTGGTTGTAATCCTATCTCCTTTGCCCTTCAGAATATTATATTTCATGCCCTGCGGTCCTTTAATGTAGAAGCTGCTAAATCTTGTGTTATCCTGATTGTGTTTGATGGAGGGGTTTTAAAAAAATTTAGAGCAATTCTTTTTGTAGTGGAAAAGAATTGGAAATTAAGGGGTGAATTATGGTATACGATTGTTTCCGCATATTATTGTGCTATAAGAAGTGATGTAAGAGTGGTTTTAGAGAAACCTAGGAAGATTTGTTTGAACTGATGCAGAGTAAAATGAGTGGAACCAGGAAAACAATTTATACAATAACAACAGCAATGTTAAGGAAAACAACTTTGAAGCACTTGAGAACTCTAATAGATGGAATGATCAACAAAAAATTTCAATGATGATGCCTGCTATCCATCCCCTGACAATGAGATGATGGACTTAAGGTGCAGAACAAGATGCACTTTTTTGGACACTGCCAATGTGAGAATTTGTTTTGATTGACTATACATAATTGTTGTTTTTTTTTTCTTTTTTAATGGAGTTAGGAGGTAGCTAGTAATAGGCCTGCTATAAATCATAAAACAAAAAGAATGATAATAGCATTGTTGAAAAAGTCTTTCAAAATGCACAGAAGAAAACAGAAGGCATGCTGTGTGACCCTGGGCAAGTCACTTAACCCCAATTGCCTCACCAAAAAGCAAAAAACAAAAGAAAACAAAATCAGAAGGAAGGCCAGAAGCAAATACAATCTGAAAATTACATGTTGATAATATTTTTTTTAAAAAGTTTACTATAAACTTAAAAGGAAAAACCAAGATGTATATAATAGAAATGTGCAGTTTCATGTATGATCTTTTTTTCTGTTTTATTTTGTATATGGAAATGCTCACTTTATTTGGTATCTAAGTTTGAAATTTTTTTAAAATGTATTTTTTATTTTTAGGCAATTGGGGTTAAGTGACTTGGCCAGGGTCACACAGCTAGTAAGTGTCAAATGTTTGGTTTGAGGCCGGATTTGAACTCAGGTCCTCCTGACTTCATGGCTGGTGCTCTATCCACCTGGCTGCCCCTAAGTTTGAAATTTTTAAAATGTACAGAAGTGAACAGAAGGAATATTAGTAAGAAACAGAAAAGCAGGTCAACTTTGAAAATAACATGTTGAATTTATTACATACTTGAAAAGCAAGCTATAGTACAGATTGGCAGGTTTATGTCCAATATTTTTCTATTTATAAGGAAATTCTAATCTTTATTTGATGTTCGAGTCCAGAATTTAAAAGAAAATTAAAATGTTAAAAAAAGAGAAATAAATATTTACAAAAATACAAAATATTCAGATTAATGGGAGACCAAATGATGGATTACTGGATAAAAGAGAGAAAGAGATATATTCGAAAATGATGTGAAAACAAAACAATATCAATAAAAATAAGATTTTATGTATAATTATTCTATACAAAGTTTCCAAACTAGAGAAAGAAGGCACTTTTATCAACATCAGTGAAAACATATTAATCATGCTACCTGAAATAGGAAGAGAGAAAGTAATGTTTATTCTTAATGAATGCTGACACCAAAACACTAAAATATTTTCAGATACTACAGCAATATATGAAAAAAAAATCACTATAACTAGGTAGGGGGGCAGCCAGGTATTCTGGTCTCACACACTTACTAGCTGTGTGACTTTGGGCAAGTCACTTAACCTCTGTTTGCCTCCATTCCCTCATCTGTAAAATGGGGATAATAATGGAACCTCCTTATCTCCAAGGGTTGTTGTGAGGATTAAATAAAACAATAATTGTAAAGTGTTTAAGTACAGTGCCTGGTTAGTAACAATAATACAGTAATACAAAGAATGCTTGACAACAGTAAAGCAAAAATAATAAAAAGCACACAATTATATCAACAAATGCAGAGAAAGCCTTCAACAAAATGTGGAACTAATGCTAAAAATACTAATAAGTACAAAAACAAATGTACCTATCTTGTATATGATCAGTAGTATCTATCTAAATCCATTATTCACAGTACAAAAATACCACAAGCTCTCCCCAATGAGATTAGGGATGAAAGCATGTTACTTGTCTCTACTATTATTTGACACAGTGCTAGAAGTCTAGCTATAGAAATTAGACAGGACACAGAAACTGAGGAGACAAAATTATCTCTACTTATATAAGTATTATGGTTGATATAGGAGAGCCTAGAAAGTTAATGAAAAAGAGCTAACTGAAACAACTGTTACAATAAAATAGCAGAATGGAAAATAAACCAATACACATCACCAACCCTTCTATAAAACAACAAAACCGAGAAAGAAAAGAAAAAAAATAACAATTCCATTTAAAATATCTACAAAATACATATAATATTTGGATGTTCATCTACTAAGGCAGATGTAGACCTTTTAGAAATACATCTGCAGCACACTCTACAGAAATTAAAGAAGAACTGTTGGAAAGTTTTGTTGGAAAGGCATTTGTTGTTCATAATCAATTGGGCCAGTACAATAAAAATGACTATACCATATAAGCTGATTTACAATTTATGCTATACTAATCAATCTATCAAGGGATTACTTTGTAGAAATATACCAAATAATAACAAAACTTATTTGGAAAAATAAAAGACCTAGAATCTCAAGTGTAGTAATGAATAAATGTAGGAATAAAGAAAAAAGAATTGTATAAGAAAATATGAACTTCTGTTGCATAGTTTTAAAAATACATAAATTATATAACATTTAACCAAGTAGTAATAAAATTGATGTTTGTGTCTCCTGCATTTTTGTTTTCTTTTGTGCATTTTAAAAATATTTGATGCTTTTATTTTTTCATTATCCACTAATCCACCACTAAAATTAAACTATTTCACCAAAACAAAAGCCACTCTTCCCCCAACCCCCTAAAAACCAAAACAGAGCCTCAGAGGAATGCTATGGAAAGAAGGAATCTATAGAAACTGTCTCATTCCTCCTTGTCTCTATTCCTCCAGACTAGAAAATTGGGAAAAGTATAAGGTTGAATGGATGCACTGTGTTTCTATGATGAACTAAAAGAAAAATGGAACAAGAGTATGAGAGCTTACCTACTGATCAGTCAAAAATGAAACTTGGGCACGCGCCCGCGCACATGTCTTTTCTTATCTGATAGTCTCTTGGTATTCATTCCCACAGCTCCAACTACCATCTCTATTTAGATGATCCTAAAATCTTGATCTCTACTTCTGATGGGCACTCAAACTCCAGGTGGGTATTTCCAACTGCTTAAAGGACATATCTCTAATTGGATGTCACAGCAGCCCCTCAACCTCAGCATGTTACTTGGCTCAGAAGAACTACATCCTCAGATACTGAAAACCCTGGCAAATGTGAATGCTGAAACAATTAGTAATATCTGAAAAATCTTAGCGAACAGGAGAAATACTGTAGGATTGGAGAGTGCAAATGCCCCAGTTTTCAAAATAGGGAAGAGAAAGCAACTTGCAAGTTACAGGCAAATTAATTTGATTTCGATTCCTGGTCAAATTATAGAATGTATGATTCAAGTAATGCTTGGTGAACATCTAGAAAAGGAGAAGATGTTAACAAGCAACCAGCACGGCTTCACCAAGCTCAAATCATAAGAAATTTATTTTATTTTTATTTTTCAACAGGCTACTAAACTGGTAGACAGAGGGAATCTATATAGTTTAAAGGTACTTTTATCAAAGTATTTGATGAAGTTTCTTCTGCTATGTATGTGAAAAAGATGGAAAAGATGTGGACTTAGATGGATCTGGCAGGGGAGATGAAGGTTCAACAATGTTACATAGCAGCAACAAAAGCTAATGCAATCTTGGATTTTAATGGAGCCAAAGAGGAATAGCTCCCAGGAAGAAGGAAGTGTTAGTCCCATTGTACTTTGTCCTGGTCAGTCTACATGTCTGGAATACCATATTCAGTTCTGGGCAACACATTTTACAAAAACTACTGATAAATTGGACAGCGTCTAGAAGAGGGCAACTAGTATGGTAAAGGGCCTCAAGTTCATGCCACATGCAGAACAGCTGAAGGAATTGGTGGAAAAGAGAACCTTGGGGAAGAGAAGATCAGAGAAGCATGTGAAATGGAATGGGTTACCTTGGCATATAGTGGGTCTCCTGTCATTGGGCATCTTCAAGCAAAGGCTGGATTACTACGTGGCACTTTGCACAGGTCTCTGACGTTCTTATATAATGTTGTGTATAAAAATTATTTTTTCATCTTAACATCTTATTAAATTATAAATCCATTGGGACTGGGATTTCCTACAGCAATTACCCTCCGCGTTCTACACCTGTTAGACACTGAATAAATGTTTGGGAAAATTTTTTTAAACAGAAGTATAAATCCTTGTATTGAAGTTATTCTATCAGGCTAACAGGAGAAAAAAAACTGACTTGCTTATTAGATATCAACAAATGAATGAGAGACACAGAACACATACAGAGGGAAAAACCCAGCTAAGAACACTTACCTTTCTTCCAATTGTTTCTTGATCTATGGAAGAGAGGAGGGAAAAAAAAGGTCAGTTTTTCTATAGTCATTCCCCACTGGATATGGTATAAATTCCTAGACAGTGCCAAAATTAACTTTTGTTTTTACCCCAGCTGTTCCAGATGCTCACTCCATACCTACAAATCCCAGCTGCTCTCAATATCATTAATTCCCTTTATGTTCCAATACCTCATGCTTCTGATAGCTGGAAATTCATCCAGTTGTATATTGTCACTGGTTCCATTTCAATTCATGCCTTCTTTCATGTCAGTTTCTATTCTGTAACACATCTCTTATACTCACCATTTGGAGCATAGATGGTATGTTCTCTTGTTTCTCACCTTAAGGATTTCACTTGGGGTCTGAGAAGCTCTCTCCTCCATTTTACTTATTAATTTTTCAAGATGAGATATTTTTTGAGAGACCTGGTTGGCATGTTGCTCTTTCTTACAGGTGATGTCCTTCTCTAGCTCCTCCATTTGGACCAAGAGCAGTTGTTCCTGTAGATCAAGGAACTCCCGGAACTGCTGATACTCAGACATAATTCTCAGTTTATTGGTTTGGATCTGATTCTGTAGAAATGAAGTGGAAAATGCTCTTTGGTCTAGGGCAGAAGTTCTTAATCTGGGGTCCATGGGATGCCCAGAAGTTCAACAGACAGATATGAGTTTGGATGGGAAAAAAAGCCCCTACATCTTTATTTTCACCAATTCCTTACTGAATTTTCTTCAATTATGAATGTAAGTAATGAATCAAAGGATTATTATACTTTACCACAGTGCCAAAGGGGTACATGGCACAAAAAAGTTAAGAACTCCCTCTCTAGGGTCTCACTACCATTGACCCAAAGGGAAAAAAAAAAGATAGCAGGATGATTATTAGAATTTCATTCCTCCCATTTCTTGCCTGGACTCCCAGGTTCAGGACTTGAGAATCTATGGCATAGAGTCACATAGATCTATGGCATAAAACTAACATGGTGCCTCCTGATCCATATATCCTCAGGTCTTTTCCTTACTTGTCCATCATGTGAAACTGATGGAAAATAATGGCCAGATTGGCTCTAAGTACAGTACAGAAGGGAGTAGTGCAATACGTAGGAGGAATGACATCAGTGGGAAAGTGAGAAACTGTAAGAACATTCCCATATCTATCTCTCCTAGGCTTTTCATTATTCTCTAGTCCTGTCATCTCACCCAAGCCCTTCACTGCCTTGGACCTGTCCCTGATAGACCAGATTTTTTTCTTATCAATAATAACTTTACATGTGCATAGCATTTTTCAAATAACTTTTACATCTATTACCTCATTTAAATTTACAACAATCCTATAAGATAGGTAGGGGTGTCAAATAGGATCTCATTCCCATTTAACAAAGATGAAAATTAAGAAGACATGAATTTGCATAAAGACATAAAAGTAAAATTTGCATAAAGACACACTTTCTTCACCCCTCCATTATTCTCTTAGGAACATGGGAACACTTGTTTCATACCCTGTAGGGTCACATTCTTCTTTCCAGGCCTCTAAGCAAATAATCCAGGGACACTGGACCCCTGAAATAGAGCATTACTTTTTTTTGGGGGGGGGGCAGAGGAAGGAATCATCTCCTACCAGCAGTGCCTGGAACGTATTGTTTCCCTTCAAATGCATAATTTTTTCTTTGGATTCCTTCAGACTTTCCAGATGTCTCTGAATTTCATCCTGTAGAAAGGAGAGTTACTTTCCTACTGACAAATACAATTTCAACATCCCTTCATGAGAGGATCATAGTATATAGAGCTAGAAAGTAATTTTGATATAAATCATGCATAGGGGGCTAGTGATAGTGATGCCCAAAAAAGAAAAATAAAGAAAATAGCATCAAGGAAGCATTTAAAGAAATGCACAGACAAGAACTGAAAGTTCAGAGGGAAACATGGGCAAGCAAGGTGACTTAGGAACTAACCTGCTGAATTTATTATACACGACTTTTAAAAAATAAGCTGAACATAAAAGAGATTCATCATTTCATATGTAATCATTTTCTATTCTTTGTATATAGACATGTTCATGCTTATTGGTGTTTATCAAGTTCAGAATAAAGAACAAACATTAAAAAAAATAAATCAAGGGGACTGGGCTAATTACTGACTGAGGACCTTTAAAGTAATGACATTTTATGAGTCTGAGTAAAAACTGATCAGTATGCTTCCAGCACTCTCCATGGAGAAAGGGACTGAAACTCAATATCAGAATCAGGAGATCACAGGAAGAAGATAAGTGAAAAAGTTAGCAGTAGGATTAGGACAGCCTCAAGCTTGATATAAGACTCAGAGTTAGTGATACAAAGAGGGGCCAGATTACAGCTACTATTTAGATTACATATGCTCTTCCTTATGTTCTTTCAGCCCTCCTGGAATGTTCCTTCCCTTTCTCCCCTCTATTCACTTTGAGGCCCTGCTCCACTTACTCCATGAAGTCTTTCCTGACAAAGTCCTTCCTAACTGGCCTTTTACTGTGGCTACTCTTTCTAAGGGAAATTACTTGATCATCATCAAGAAAGTGGTTTTCCTTCAAAACACCACAGAACTTTCAGATCCCATCACTCCCATTGAGAAAGTAACCACCCTTAGCCAGAAATTCCATTTTTCTAGATACAAAAGGAAAATACTGGAGATTATTCCTTTTTTTTTTTTTTTGGTGAGGCAATTGGGGGTAAGTGACTTGCTCAGGGTCACACAGCTCGTGTCATGTGTCTGAGACTGGATTTGAATTCATGTCCTCCTGACTTCAAGGCCAGAGCTGTATCCACTGTGCCACCTAGCTGCCCCATTTTTTTTTTTTTACAATTGGGGTTAAGTGACTTGCCCAGGGTCACACAGCTAGTAAGTGTTAAGTGTTTCGTCTGAGGCTAGATTTGAACTCAGGTCCTCCAACTTCAGGGCCAGCGCTCTATCCACTGTGCCATCTAGCTGCCCCAAAACTATTCCTAAAAATTGCCCAGGGATGAAGAAAACCTATATCTGCTCTAGGGCTTAATTACTATGTTTTTCTTTATAAGCTCTTTTCTTTATAATCACTTCAGCTCTAATTTTAGCTCATTTCTACTTTCTGTCAATGCAGATGGCTGTTCATTGAATAAATCTTCTCCAGGGGTTTGTTCTCTACAAATCTTAAGCAAACCCTACATGTACCCCTCCCAAACTCCTCCTCCTCCCCGTTTCGACAACCCACTTCCCAGACACTATTCTTTCTATTACCATTACACACTTTCGCCCTTTCTGGTGGCCAGCTGAATAGTAATAGTAATAGTAATAGTAATAGGATCATAAATTTAGAACTAGAAGGGACTCTATGGGGTCCAGTGCCCTCATGTACAGGAATAGGAAGGCCACATAGGTTAAATAAGTCATGCAAGGTCACACTAGAAGTGAAAGGAAGCATAGTATTTGCTCTTTTTTTCCCTTCTATTTTGTTTTGTTTCCTCTTTCTTGTGGTTCCTCCTATTGGTTCTAATTCTTCCTTAAAATATGACTAATATGAAAATATGTTTAATAGGAATGTATATGTAAGTGCCTATATCAGATTGCATGCCATCTTGGGGAGGGAGGTGTAGAGGGAGGGGGTAAAATTTAAAACTCAAAAGAGTATGTAAGTGATTGTTGAAAACCAAAAATAAATTAAAAAAAAAAAAAGAAGTAAGTGAAAGAGCCAAGATATTAACCCAGGTACCCTAACTTCAAATCCAGAGTTCTTTTCACAGCACCACACTGCCCAGGATATGTATCTGTGTGTGGAGGGTGGCAGCATTTTGAGACAGCAGAGGATTTTGAGAGTGACAATCCTGGTGGGTGCACGATAACCAAACCACAGTTCTGCAGGTTAGCACAATGCCTGGCACACAGTAAATGCTTAACAAATAACTGCTGACTAATTGCTGATGGCAGGTACCATGACTACTACATTCACCAGTTTCCTCCTAGATCAATATATCAAGGGAGAGAAAAGAGCAAGGCAAATTTCTTACTTTGTAAGGCTGGGCAGCATCCTCTACCGGTAGGACAACGTGAGTACTGTGCTCTCGGAGCTCCCTGCACACAAAGCACAGGAACTGCTCATCTGTTTCACAGTAGAAAAAGGTCTTTTCCCCATGCCGCTTGCAAAGTTGATAATCTGCTGGCTGTTTAGAATCTTCTGGTTGCTTATCAGAGAGTCCCAGGTTGAGGAGGTTGGGGACTAATTGTGCCAGCACCCAATTGGGACTGATGTTTTCCTTTTGAAAAAGCTTCTTGCAAATTGGACAGGACACTGAGTCTTGGACGTGGGTTTGATAATAGTCACATAGCTCAGTGATACAGACTCGGCAGAAACTGTGACCACAGGGAATACTGACTGGGTCCTTCAAGTGCTCCACACAAATACTGCAGGTCAGTTCTTCCAGGAGGTTCTCTGGTAGGGGTCTGGCAGCCATGACCACTTTACTTCACCTGGATTCTGCTTCCTAGACAGAGTAATGAGGTAAATAGGGTAAAGACAGAAACTCTGAAAATGAATAGGGATTGAAATTATGGTTGGGGAAAGTTTGGGTGAAGATTGGCTAATCTCAGCATTTTGAAGCTGTGTGGGACAGCGACCCTAACCCAAATTAAACTCAGAGACTTCTCAAGGTGGAAAGCAAAGGTTACCTTTATTACAATGTTACGAGATGGCTGTCCTCTAGGTACAAGCAGGGGAGGCAGGGATAGAGAGAGAGAGAGAGAGAGAGAGAGAGGAAACAGGATTACATACCCTAATGCAAACAAATCCCCACCCACCACTATCCCTTATACCCATTGACTGGGAGGTGGGCTTACATTCTAGGCGGGAAATAGTCTATTCCTATCCTCTTCTCCCTTATCCCAGAGACAAGAGAAAGGCGGGAAGCTAAGGGCAAACAGTTCAGGTTGGGGGCAGAGCTTATTCTTTCTGTTACTTGCTTAAAAGCAGGGTCTGAGCGGGGGAGGATTTTGAAAGTAATCATCAAGAATTATTGACCTTTCAGCAGGCTTCACTTCTGAGAGTTCATCTCTCACACTACTTTCCCCAAAATGAGACTGAGCATGGAGTCACATTTCTAGGTATTCAGATGAGGATCATGCAGTAGATTTAGAACTTGAAGGGATCTTTCAGGTCATCTATTCCAACTGTTTCAGGGTTATACAGGGAGTAGAAAGAAAGTAACAGAGCTGGGATTTGAACTCAGATTCTCTGACTCTTTCTATTATACCAAACATCTAGTCCATTTCCTTCTCAAAAGGGGTTTAGGAGAGTGGATTTTGAGAAGATGTTTGGATAGGAGTTAGAATGGTGGATAGGTCTAAACAGGTTGAAGACTTAGAAGGTGTGAGGGCAAGATTCTATTCAAAGTGGAGGAAGAAGAGTGGTGTTGGATGGGAGGAAGGGTGAAAACATTACTATAGGTAGGTCACATATCGTGCACAGAAAAGAAATTAAAGAGGGTTGATATGATAGAATGATTAGTTAATATAAAAACATCATTTTTAGCGGTTCACAGGGGAAAATCCAACTATATTTTGAATTCTGGAATGAGGTCTGAGTTCTCACCTTAGACTTAACAACTCTTTCAGGTAGTCTTAAATTCTTCCAAAGTCTTGCCAGGTGCTCCTGATTCCTAAGAAGGACAGCAGACCACACAAGGTTGAAGGCTGAGGAGAACTTTCGGGCTTCCACTAGGGTAAGGGTTCGTGACTTTTTTTGTGTCATGGACCCATTAGGCAGCCTGGTGAAGCCCAAGGACTCCTCAGGATAACGTTGAAGGAAATGAAATGCTAAATTTCAGTTAGAAGTTAGTGAAAATAAAAATAAATTTTTTTCCTTCTACCAAAATTCACAGATTCCCTGAAATCTATTGACAGGTGTGTATGTGTGTGTGTTGTAGATTCCAGGTTAAGAATCTCTATACAAGAGAATCCAGGAAATGCATTTAATCACTTTGAGTATTACTAGTTATACAATTTTTAAAATTACTAGTTATACAACTTTAAAAATTAGTATAGATGTAACTTATATGTCACCAAAGCTCAGGACTTTGTAAATGTGTCTGAAGTTCCAGACCCCTGTTCTAGGACATGGAGATCCAGTGCAGTACATTCCAGGATCCCCCCACCCTGTGTGAGATGCTGACAAAACAAAACAAAATAAAACAACCCTACACACAAAAAGTCAGGCTGATTTAAGGCCTCTGAGCAGGCATTTCCTTGTGTTCTTTGCTAAGGCCAAGCAAACCCACGTGACACCTATTATATAAGTCTGGTAACCATTTTTTTTCCCTCAAAGTAACAGCGTTTTCATTGGCTGTTCCCCAAGCCTGAAACTCTCTCCCTCCCCTCTCTGCCTGTTGGCTTTCCTGGTTTCTTTCAAGTCTCAAATAAAAGCACACATTCTGCAAGAATCCTTTTTCAGTCTTTTAAAATCTCAATACCTTCCAACTGAGACCACCCTCAATTTATCTGGTCTTTATTCTGTTGGTGCATAGTTGTTTGTGCTCTGTCTTCCCCATTAGATTGTGGGCTCCGTGAGTGGGAGGACTGTGCCTTTTTTTGTGCTCCCACAGCTCAGCACAGAGCTGGCACTTAATAAATGCTGATTGACACCAAGCAGCCCTGCCCAAGACCTGGACTATGTTAATGGGCTTTAGAATTAAGTTTTTAAGAGCTGAAGGTGGACCGATCCAACCCTCATTTTACAGATGGGGAAACTGAGTATATGAATAATGAATGAAAAAGCATTTATTAAACACTGGCTTAGCACAGATACAAAAAAGGACAATTCCTGCCCTCAAAGAGTTTACAACCTAGCGGGAAAGGTAACACGTACATATAGTATGTGTTATGAGGCAGTGGCCTGAGAAGGGAATTTTGGTCTGAGGAGTCCCAGAGAAGGAAAACGTTTTGCTGGTAACTAAGTAGCACGTCTAGAGTCCAAGCCCAGGTTCCCTGACTTCAAAACCGGAGTTCTTTCCGTAAAGCCCCGACCCCATCAACACCAACCTCCTCTGGGCCCAGCTGGAGAACATCTCACCTTGTCGGACCCAGGAGATGGAGAGGGCAGCAGGGACAGGCGGAGGGAAATGAGACCCCACGGCGTCCGACGATGGCTGGAGAAGCGGAAGGAGGTTGCAGGCTCGGGAAAGAAAAACTGCCCAACCCAAGGGGGACTTTGGAAATCTTTACGACTTTCACTTTTCCTTTTCCGCTGCGGCCTCAGGCTACTCGGTCTGACTAGAGATTGATGACGCCCCTTCAATAATCGGCCAATCCGAAGAGCCTATTGGTGTCCCTTCCAATCAACTAGTCCAGACCCTGGTCGCCAGTTCTTTTAGGCTTCCAAGATTATTAGTTTGATGTTGAGGACGGGTAGCAGAATAAGATTAAATGAACACATCTGGAAAGCATCTAGAAAGGTAGGTTGGGGCTGAATTATGGAGAGCTTTAAACACTAGGAGGAGTTTGTATTTTCTTCTAGACGCAAAAGGGAGCCGCAGAAGAGCTTTGAGTAGGGGAGTGACCAGTTTAGAACTGTGTCAGTCAGTCAGTAGGGTCAGTAAACATTTACCAGGCGCCTACTACGTGGCAGGCACAGTACTAAACGCTGGGGGGTAAGAAAGGAAGGTCAAAGTCTCAGCTCTCAAGCAGTTCACAGTCTAGTGGAGGAGACAACATGCAAACAATTATGTCCAAATAAACTATAAACAGGATAAATTGGAAATAATCAACTGAGGGAAGGCATTAGCATTAAGAGGGATCAGAAGGAAAGATTTTAAATGGAGCTGGAAGGGAGCCAGGAGTCAGAGAGGAGGAGGGAGAGCATTCCAGAAACGGGAGGATAGCCAAGGAAAACGTTCAGTGTTGGGAGGAATATGATTTTGGCAACTGTATGGAGAATGAATTGGATAGGGAGAGACTGGAAACAGGGAGGTCAATTAGATGATTGTTTTGATAGCCCAGGCAAGAGATGATAAGGGCCCGAGTTAGTCTGTTGGCTTTGGGAGTTGGAGAGAAGGAGATAGGTATCAGAGCTGTAACTGGAAGTAGAATTGACAAGACTTGGTAACTAATTAGATATGGGGGAGAAGTTTAGGGTACCTTCAGGGGACTGATGGGAAGGGTCAAGAATGACTCTAAATTTATGACCCTGAGTGACTAGAAGGATGCTGGTGCTCTTAACAGAAACAAGGAAGTTTGGAAGAAGGGATAGTTTTGGGATTGGGGCATATGATGAATTCTCTTTTGGACATATTGAATTTGAGAGGCTTTTGAACACAGAAAGAGGAAGTCACGCAACTGTGCTGCCTGGGTCCGCTGCAAAGCATCCCTCTCTGCTGCATGCGAGTCCTTTGATTCTGGCCTGATTGACTCTTTATCTCACTTCTCTCAGTATCTGTTAGAAACCTTTCCTTCTCCCTTCAAGCCAGCTACAGCACTGTTTGTCCCTTCCTCTCAGCAGAGGACCTAGAGCAGAGGTTTTTAACTTTTTTTGTGTCATGGATCCCTTTGGCATTTGGATAAAACCTATGGATCCCTTCTCGGAATAGTGTTTTTAAATGCATGAAGGAAAACATAGGATTGCAAAGGTAACCAATTATGTTGGAATAATTTTTTTAAAATATTTTTTTAAAAGTTAGTTCAAAGACTCCAGATGAAGAATCCCTGAGTCCAAGATAAATACTTAAATGAAAAATTTGAGGCCATCTCTCATGAGTCCAAATCACCTCAACATCTCCCCCCTCCACTTTCTCTACCTTGTACACTTGTGCCCTTGAATTGTTCCTTCTGTTATCCCCATGATTTCCCTAATTTTCAATGTCTCTTTATTCACTGCTTCCTTCCCAAGTGCTTTCAAGTGTGCCTACATCTTCTCATTCTTTGAAAACACAAAAACAAAACAAAACCTTTACTTGGTCCTTTCTGTTTGCTGCCCCAAATCTTTACTTTCTTTCATAGTCAAACTCCTAGAAAAAGCTGTTTACACTCCTTGCCTCCACTTCCTCATTTCATGCTCACTTCTCAGCCCCTTGCAAGTTGGCTTCCAACCTTATCACTCAGTACTCTCTATATTGTAATATCTTTTGGTCTTCTCTCAGTCCTTATCCTTTTTGACCTCTCTGAAAATGTCACCACCCCTTCTTCCAAGACGTTTTCTCTTCCCAGGATTTTTATGACACTATTATTATTATTATTATTATTATTATTATTATTATTATTTTGGCTAGGCAATGGGGTTAAGTGACTTGCCCAGGGTCACACAGATAGTAAGTGTTTTGTGGATTTGAACTCAGGTCTTCCTGAATCCAGGGCCGGTGCTCTATCCATTGCACCACCCAGCTGCCCCTATGACACTATTATTTAGTTCTATATAAATGCCAGTTATTATTATTATCGCTATTAGCCTCAGGTCAGGTAATGACTTCATTACCATAGCCTTCTACTGCACTCCTGCTGAGCTAAAAAAAGGTTTATAGAACAATACAGGGATATGCTGACAAATGTTTAATGACCTGACTCTCAGAGAAAAAAAAGTATGCATACAATGTTAACTTTAATCTGCGTTATTAATATTTTATTAAATCCAGAAATTGACAAAAAAAAAAATAAATCAAGCCCTGATTTGAAATGACTGCTGATTTCTGAAGTGTAGATGCTCATACTGAAAATTTAACAAAAGTGGACCCAGTGAGAGTTGGCATACCCCTGAACTGTGATGTGGGAAAGAACTGAGGGGTAGAAGTAATAGAGGTCATGATAAGGAGGAATAAAAGGGTTAGGGATTATAATACAGAGGAAAAGATGGAATGATAAAAGATCATGATCAGATGAAGGAATTTTGGAGTTCATTAACATGGATACAGAACACTTATGAGTGATGACAAGATCAAGCATATGACTGTGTGTAGCCAGAGTAGAGGAATAGGTAATAGGAAATGAGTAAGTAAGGAACTAGAAAGTTAGAGTGTTTGAGAGAGTATCAATATGCATGTTGAAACCTCCTAGTATGAAGGGAAGAGTTAGAGGGAGGGGCAGGTGCAGAGAGGACGACTGTGAGCCTAGCACTGAACTCACTGAGGAAGAAAAGGAATGGACTGGGGGTTGGTACATAATGACTACCTTAATTTTTAATGGGTTAAAATCTGGATTAAATAAACCTTAAAGGAAGAGAAGTTACTGAGAGATAGTTATAGAGGGACAGTCTGGAAGAGGCAATGGGGAGCAAGAAGTATTCTAACTCCACCACCACCACCAGGGTATCAGCTCCCCTTCCTTCCAGTACCTCAAAGGTAAAACAATTACTGGTGGCCAGTGATGTAATATCGTCAAAAGGAAGCCAGGTCTCAGTGAGAGCCAGGAGATGGAGGGAGTTGGAAAGGAAAAGTTTTGTGTTGGAAGCAAATTTATTTACTATGGAGCAGGCATTCCAAAGAGCATTGTGGAAGGAAGGTAGGTCTGACATGGGACATTTGCAGGGTAGGATGAGGGGGCTGGGAGTAAGGGAGTGGGCAGTAAGGGATAGTGAAGAGGGTTATATAATGATACCTAGAAGTTCAGAATCATTGGGATGGGGACAGTATAATGGGATGAGAATATGCTAACCATGAAGGAATGAATCCAGGTAGAGTATAAGTGACTGAAGAGAGGGTCTATAGAGGAAGGCACATGATTCAACTGTTCAAAGACCTCTCTGGAGATCTAACTTTGTAGCAGGTGAAGATGTTGAATCTTGAAAAGCCCAGGAGGGCCAACTTACAGCAAGCAGAAGCAGACAAAAGCATGACCTGGTAGGGGAAGGCCAAGAGAAGATAGGCTCTAGACAGGAGGCAAGAGCTAGCAATTCAGAATGAGATACTGGAAAAGGCTATGAGGTAAAGACAGGGCTCCCTGGAAAATCCCAAAAGAGAAAGGGCCACAATCCGGATTGGTGCTCTTTGGGGAGTCTTTTGGGAAGATCTATAAATAGCTTTGAATATAGTATAAGAAAAAAGAAAAGGACACAGGAGAAAATGGTAGGAAAGATGAAGATACCTTTTAACATGCATAATTGGTCTGCAAATAGAGCTATATATAAACATAGGAATGGAGGTAGCAGGCATCACTTGAACTCGGTCACATATAAATGTGTCAAAAAGGGCAGAACATACACACAAAGAATTTGGTGTGCAAAAAAATTTAACTCAATAGGGATAGAGGAGTAGATAGAAAAAGGGTAGATTCTGGGAAGGATTAGCATAAGAAAACAAACCCTAAGCTTGGAGAGGGGGAAGAGAAGGTTAAAAGGAAAGGGTCACAACATGAAATAAACAGGGAATAAAGAATATAGAGAAGAAAAAAGTATAAGAAAATAAGATTGGGGGAAATAAGCAATTAACTATTATAATTGTGAGTGTGAATGGGATGAACTCACCTGTAAAATGGAAGAGATTAGCAGAGTGGATTCTATAAAGCTGGCTTCACTTCATGTTTCCTCCTAATTTTCTGTATGCAGAAGATAAATAAATGACTCAGCCCTCCTCCCCCCAAAAAACTAAAATGCAAAATTCAACAATATCTTGTTTACAAGAAACACACTTGAAACATAAAGATTTATGCAGAGTTAAAATAAGAGACCAGAGCAAAAACTAATATGCATCAGCTGAAAACTAAAAATTAGGGACAGCCATTATAATTTCAAATAAAACAATAACACAAATTAATTAAAAGAGAGAGAGAGAAACTACATTTAGATGAAAGGTAATAGACAGTGAATTTATTTCGGTACTTAACATTTGTGCATCGAATGTTCCAAATATTTAAAGCAAAACCAAAAAAAGCCACTAAATAATAAATAAAAGTTTGAGCTATTGAAAAAATCAAATAGATAAACCATTAGCTAAACTGATTAAAAAGAAGGAAAAGGAAAATAAAATTGTTGTTGTTCAATCATTCAGACATGCCTGACTCTTCATGACCCCATGGACCATAGCACTCCAGTCCCTTCTATCCTTCACTATCTCTGGAAGTCCGTCCAAGTTCGTGTTCATAGTTTCCATGATACAATCCATCTATCTCATCCTCTGCTGTCTGCTTTTCCTTTTGCTTTCAATCTTTCTCAATATTAAGGTCTTTTCCAATGAGTCCCATCTTCTCATTATGTGGCCAGAGTATTTAAGCTTCAGCTTTAGTATTTGACCTTCCAGTGAATAGCCTGAATTAACTTTTTAAGTATTGACTGATTTGATGTCCTTGCTGTCCAAGGAACTCTGAAAAGTCTTCTCTAGCACTATAATTTAAAAGTGTCAATTCTGCAGTGCTTAGCTTGCCTTATAGTCTAATTCTCACAGCCATCCGTTGCTACTGGAAAAACCATAGCTTTGACTATATGGACTCTGTAGGCAAGATGATGTCTCTGCTTTTTAGTATGCTGTCCAGATT